TGCCGATTTTTAATAAATTAAATGAGCTTTCGTAAATAATGTAGGATTGTAATACATAGTTTTTCACAATTGCAGATCAAGTGTTGGGGTAAAACTGATATTTAAAGTTTGGACATAAAAATGAAAAAAAATTGAGTGTTTTGAACATTTCAATATTAAAATATAAGTAGAAAAGATATTTGTAAAACATTTTCTACTAAATGGTGAAGAGTTAACTGGACAGGGAGTTTGTTGACAGCTTCTAAATTGAATGCTTATCAATTAATGATGTAAGTAGTTAATATTTTTATGTAATTTTCAGTTAAAATTTTTACTCATTCTTTTCATGGATTTCTTAACTATTAGGGCAGACTATTGAAAAGACAGTTTGCAATTATTTAATTCTTAATATTTTGCAATCAAAGGAAAATGGAGACATAAATTGTGTTGAGAATGATTTAAGATTGTAGCCATTCCTCAACTCTTTAATTTAAAAAAATCCATTGTATAACTTGAAGTAATAAATAAAATACCAACTATTTCATTTTGTATGCTAAAGTTCTACATAAGGTTTAGGGCTTTTTTAAAGGTTAAAGATGACTTGTAATATGAATGCTCCAATCAGCCAGATAAATTGAATTCAAATCCTGCTCTTAGTTATTTATGGCAGGACTATTTCATTTATTTTGACTTTTTCTTAGTATTCTGAGAAATATTTTATAGTTTACTCTGCATTTCACATCTCATTGCTCACAATATAACTGTGAAGTAGTCAAGGCAAATATTTGCTAATAAAAAAAAGTATTCCAGTGTCTTTCTGAGTCCCTCTCTTTAAATGTGTCGCAGTTGAAATATTGTAGCCAGTTTTTTCTTTTTTAGGTTTTTTCATTGATTTATGGATAGAAAATTAGATATCCAAGTGGTTAGGTTTCTAGACTAACTTCATTAAAAGCTTTAAGTTCTGAAATTTCTGACACTTTTGCCAGTTGGTTACTTAATATGTTTTGATTAAAATATCTTGTGGCCAAAACTAGACAACTTAAAATCCCAGTCCTTTTAGAGTACAAGAGTATAAGCAGATAGAAAAAGCTTGAGAAATTTAATGCAGATGTTAACTAACTTAAGCCCGGCCATTTAAAAAGATAATTCAGTACAAAATTTGTGTAAGTATAAAGAAAAGTAAATAAGTTAATTGGGAACAAGATTCTCACAATTAATGTAACATGTCTGGATTTGGATGCACTTTAGAAAACAAGGGCATGACTAATTACAGATTTGTATTCTGGAAGCATATCACTGTGCTATTTCTGAGGCTGCCCCTTCCTGAAGAAAACCCAAGTTTTCTGTTTTGCTCTTTGGAGTAAATTCACTTGGTTAAGAGTAAAGCACATAGGTTTCCTCTGACAACTTACCTTTTTATATTTATTTATTTATTTTTTAAGAGAGAGAGAGAGAGAGAGAGAATGAATTTTAATATTTTTTTTTTTCGGCAGACACACATCTTTGTTTTTATGTGGTGCTGAGGATCGAACCCGGGCTGCACGCACACCAGGAGAGCGCGCTACCGCTTGAGCCACATCCCAAGCCCAACAATTTACCTTTTTAGAATGAGGGTGGGGCCTGCAGAACTTTGGTACATTAGATAATTCACTCCTCAGATACTTTATCTGTGTTTTACAAACACTAGTCATATATTTCAGTTGCCAAAAGACCGCTGGCTTAATGGGTTGGTTATACCAGCCAGTTGGGGTACCACCTTCTCTTCTACAATGTCTAGAATTCTCCTCCAATGATCAGCCCATTCATCCCGTCAGTAGGCTGACAGCAGATACTTGTGGTCAACTATGTCATTAAATGCGGACCAAGCACTAGAGCTCAGGTCCCCTTGGTGGAGCTGGGAGACATCCTTGAGTGGTTGCTGGCCCACTGCACAACCACAAGTCCTCCTGTGCCTTAGACCTGGGAAACCCATTGTTTTTAGAATGCAGTAGTCAGCGTCTTTGTTGGGTTGCTATTTGTGGCAACAAATGCTAGTGAGGTTCTTAGATTTTGAGTTCTCAGAGTAGCATAGTGCAGGTGCATAGAGATTCATTTTTGAGAAACTGCTGTGTGAAGTGAACATGTGTGGGTTTTAAGTCTAACTTGGACATCTGATTGAGTTGCACGGAAGAAGAGCTAGTCATTATGTAAGGCTGTGAACATTTATGAAGCACCACTACTCAACTAAGTTTAAAAATTTTAAAGTATTTTCAAATCTTATAGTATAACTGTGAAGTAGGCAAGACAAATATTTGTTAATAAAATATTACATTAAAATGCACATTAAAATCTTTATATTCCTAAAATGGTATTTGTTATCTTTTTTTTTTTTTTAAATATTCTGAGTCTACGTTTATTTTCCTTTTATTAAAAAATGGACTTGTGCCAGGCCTGGTGGTACATACCTGTAATTCCATTTATGCAGGAGACTGAGACAGATCCCAAGTTTGAGGATTGCCCTGACAGCTTAGTGATATCCTGTCTTAAAATTTAAAAATAGAAAGAGGTCCTCAGTGATATTCTGTCTTAAAATTTAAAAATAGAAAGGAGTATTCAATGGTAGAGTACCCCTGGGATCAATCCCTGCTACTGCTAAATAAATAAAAATAAAATAAATAAAATGGACTCATTACTTTTTAATGTGTTTTCTTTATGGCAAGATATGTAAATCCTCCATGTTTAAGGAATGCCATTTATGGTTATACCATAACAAACCATTAATTTATTAGTGAATATTTAAGTTAATCCCATTTTAGTGATATAGTAGGACTTTATTGTTTATTGCATAATTTCCCAAGATTTATTTATTTAAATTTATTTAGTAAATAAGAATTAGACATAAATCTAGTTTCTAGGAATTTACAGGGAATCAGTGTGATGTAGTGAAAAGAACTTTTGTCTAGAAATTAAGATTGCTGTGAATCTTGTTTAATGATTTAGTTGTTTGATCTGACCCAGAATTTCAAACTGTTTGCATTTTATCATCCAAAAAGTGGAGATAATATTGTGAAAGTTTATAGTATATTGTTTTATAAACATACAACTTGAAAAATGATGATAATGGCATCTTTACAAAAGCCTGTATATTTATAATTTAGATATAGAATGAGTTTCTAAATGGGAATTCCGTTTTTGCTCAGAGTTTAATATCAGTAGTACCAAACTTGTTTAATTATCTGTAGAATTATCACAATCCCTAAATATCCTAAATCTAAATCTCCAAGAAGTGAAAGGTACATAATGAATAAGTCAAATGTACAAAGTCCCATTCAATTAATTTAAAAGCACTATATCGTTTATAGTTTTTTCAATATTTTATTAGTTGTTGATGGACCTTTATTTATATGTGGGGCTGAGAATCGAACCCAGTGCCTCACACATGCTAGGCAAGCGCTCTACTGCTGAGCCACCACACCAGCTCCTTTTCATGTGTTTTCTTAAATACAAGAGGAAAAATTGTATGCCTGTGTTCTATAAATTAACTTATAATAAAAGTCAAGACTTCATATTTAAAGAAAGTAGGAATAATATAAAATGGTTTATTTTCACACATATAAACTGTTACTCTTCTATATCAATATAGTAAAAATGTTACTGAGGCATTGTGTAAAAATGTAGTCAGTGAGGCCTGTGTTTAGTGTAAATCAACCAATTGTCATATGTAACTAGTTACAGTGAGGAAATTAAAAAAAAAAATCTACAACATTGTACTGTCCTTGAAACAGGCAACTGAAATTTGGAATTGTAAATGTGGGCAGGATTTGGAACAATCAGAGGCTCTGGAAGAAGACAAATAAGTATATGAAAGGACTTAAGCATAGCATAAGATCTCTTTTTTTTCCCAACTTTAAAATTTTTAATTAATTTATTTTTTAAACAGTATTTCCCTATATTGTCCAGGCTTGCTTTGAATTCCTTGGCTCAAGTGGTCCTTGTGCCTCAGCCTCCTGAGAAGCTGGGACTATAGGTGTTACCATGCCTGGTGGGATGATTTTGAATGTTAAAAAATCCTTTTTGACTAGAACAGAAAATATATAATAGCCAATAAGACTGAAAAAAAAAAGTGATGGGTTCAGTTTCCAAGTATGTAGGAATCTGGATCCAGCTATGTAAGCTGTTTAAGATTTGTGAGTGATAATATCGGAGCCATGCTTTCAGGAAAGTACCAGTGTTAATTATATTACTAACTTTGCCACTATTACTTTAGATAGGTCACATTGACTTTAGGACCTCTTGAAAGTTTCAGTTCTTTTTTTTTCTGCTGTAACAATATTCTTTGAAACTATCTGTCACAAATAACAGGTTCTTTTCTTTCTGAAAATTGGATATAGAAGGTAAGTCTTAAAGAAATTAGGAGCTGTTCCTTTACCTTCTACTGTAATGAGGAATTTCCTTCTGGTCTCTTAAATAGCAGCTTTCTTTTATGCTTTATCATATGGCTCTTTAATTATATTCAGACTTGGTTATATTACATGCTTTTGAATGAGAGCTAGCTCACTTTTATGTATCTGTCTGTCTGTCTATCTATCTATCTATCTATCTGTCTGTCTAATCTGTCTTTTGCCATGTACATTTATGGTACAAATTGGAAAGGCAGTTATATATCATTGGGATTTTGTTCCAGTCTATAATTCAGATTTTTTTTACACTTATTATGGTTTATTTAAGTAGCTTATCAAATCAGTCTTTAAAGTTTGGTTTTAAATAAATTTAAGCTAGTGTTATAAATTCTTTTAAGAAAGGATTGTTGTTAGGTAGTTTCTGAACTTACATATAGATTAATTACTGATAATGGTTTATTTACCTAGGATAATTCTTCAGGAATTTGGGCATAGATTTTTCTGCTCCTGAATTGACTGTTTACCTTAGTAAGTTTTGACTGTTGGGATTTAGCTCAAAATGTTTGTAGTTATTTTATTTTGAAAATTGTAAGTTGAATCATGATTCAATTGAGCTAATAATGTTTCTTTGTTTTTGAATAGTTGGAACAGATAATGGGAGAGAAGCAATTGAAAGTGGGGCTGCATTTCTGTTTATGACATTTCACTTGACGGATTCTGTTGGTCACATGGAGACAAAGGCTATCAAACAGATGTTTGGTCCCTTTCCATCATCATCTGCTACTACAGCTTGTAATGCCACTAATCGAATCATTTCTCATTTTAATCAAGATGATCTTACTGCTCTTGTCCAGAAGACAGAAAAGGAATCTAGTGATACAGTATTTTTTGGTAAAAATTTAGCATTTTCATTTGACATGCATGATCTGGACCACTTTGATGAACTGCCAATAAATGGTGAAGCCCAGAAAACTATAAGCCTAGATTACAGAAAGTTTCTGAATGAACATTTTCAGGAGCATTCCACCCCAGAGCTCAAGCCTGTGGAAAAAACAAATGGCTCCTTTTTGTGGTGTGAAGTTGAAAAGTACTTAAATGCAACTTTGAAGGAAATGACTGAAGCACCAAGAATAGAAGATCTTTGCTGTACTTTGTATGACATGCTTGCTTCTGTTAAAAGTGGTGATGAACTTCAGGATGAGGTATGGTTGAAGTTATTGAAGTTTTATGTAAATGTGAACCATCTTAATGAAATAGGCTTTTGAAATTTTGTCTGTGTGTGTGTGTGTGTGTGTGTGTGTGCGCGCGCGCGCGCGCGCATATGCTAGAAATCGAACCCAGGGCCTATGGCATTCTAAGCCCAAATTGTACCACTTAACTATATAGCTCCAACCCAGAAGACCTTTAACAACTTAGCTACACTCCCATCTTTTTGTATTTTTTATTTTGAGACAGTGTCTTACTAAGTTGCTGAGGCTGAGTTTGTACTTTCAATCCACCTGCCTCAGCCTCCTGAACCACTGGGATTACAGGTGTCAGCCATTGTGTCTGGCTCAAAATAGCTTTTTAAAACATAGATAGTTAGCAAAGAAAGTACTCTTTTAACATTATGCTATAGGACTCAATTATGTAGCCAGTGATTTTACCTAGCAGGCATGTATATGTCCAGTGTATAGTTAACAAAAGGACTGACAGAATAATGAATAGTGGAAGAGTCACAAGGCAATAGTTGAGCCTCTGTGTGTGCCAGTTATTGGGATAGTCCTGTTTAAATCTGTTGTCCTGTTGTAATTAGTACATTTATTCTGAAAAAAATATAGATTTGAATGATAAATTATATAGCACTCYAGTAATAACTGTATAGCATTTTATATTTCTAAGAGTTCTGTGAATAAAAATAACAAACTTCAAAATATTAGTAATTTTATCCTCATATTAAATGACTTATTGATTTAGAAAAACTTTTTTACTTATTTCTATGTTTGAAACCGTAACTTGAAAAACAGATTCGATCTAGAAATAATTGTATTGATATTTTAGATCATTTGTTCAATAGAGTATTTTTAGAAGTTTTCTCCTGTCATGTGAAGGAAAGCATGATTTTAATCTCTTTTTATTTGAAGTGGTGAAAAGTTTATCTTCAGGGTTTTAGTTTTGCCCTTAATCTGCTATCATTTCATAAATTTAAAATTATGGTTAACYCAATTTTAATACTGGATAGATTGAGTAATATATTTGATGAAGATTAAGAGAGGACATTAAAAAAAGAGAGATGACATACTATTATAGGAAGGGCAGAGGCTTTGAAACCAGATGTTTCTTCTTTTCCCATTTATTGCTTGTGAGAATAGGTAATTCAATCTCTCAGAAGCTCATTTTCAAGTGAATACCAATATCAAGAAAAAGGATTTGTGTAAGCATTAAATATGATACCATATATGAGCTGGAAAGTAGCATGTGGTAAATACTCATTACAATATAGATATAATTATTTTTGTGGTTTTTATTGGAATTAAGGTTTTAAATAATTTGAAGTATCAGGAATACAGGGGAAAATAATTTTTAATTAATCTAGGGAATTAGCTAACTAAATTTTGAGGGAACAGTCCCATGGTAGTGATAAATATTGTGCTGATTAACCTTAGTTTGGAAGTAAGATCCCTTACTTCTGATTTCTTAGTTCTATGATCAGTCTTATATACCTTGAATGTTTCAGACTTGGTTTAACTTATATCAGATCTGTTCTACATTATTAAATGAATTTTATTTATTACTGTGGAAATAATAATTATTTTAAAAATTGTGATTTAAAAAATCTTACTGATATTTGCTTATTATAATTGAATATATAGCAGATAGCCTATTTAATTGTAAACTGAAACTTGTAAACATCAGACTAATGGATATTGTATTTTCTGAGTAAACCATAAAACTATTCTATTTACTTCTGAATATCTAGAATAAAGTTTGAGTTTCTTAGTTCATCACCACACCCTTAAAATAACTGAATCTCATTATTGAAGGGAGAAATTGCAAGGTCAGATTGAATGGGGGTATCCACCCATTTGTCATGTGTTTATTGAATACTATATTACTAGGTACAGTTCAAGTTAATGGACATAAAAAATGAATAAGACAGCAACCTTGCTTTCATTGAATTAATTATTAAACAGGAAAAGACATATCACATATAACTTTGTATGCCCAAGCTGGCCTCAAACTTGAGATCCTCCTGCTTCAGGCAGAGTTGCTGGGATTAYAGGTATATGCCATCACACCTGGCCATTTTCTGTGTCTCTTGAATTCTTAAAAGTATCTTCCTCCTTATTATTTTTTTTAAATTTTTTTAGTTGTTGATAGACATTTATTTTATTCATTTATTTTATGTAGTGCTGAGGATCGAACCCAGTGCCTCACACATGCTATGCAAACACTACCACTGATCCATAAACCCAGTCCCTTATATTTTTATATGTAATTAAATTTAATTGTTTACTGTTTGTTCTTGCTAATTTGTAAGCTCCCCAAAGAATGTGTTGGTCCATTCAAATAGAAAAAAATGTATGGAAATTTTTAAGGGACTAATAAATTTTATTAAATTAATGAAAGCTTCACAACAAAAAGAGCACTTTAAAAATATCATACGTATTCTACTATATACAAAAGGGGGCATAAAAGAACAAGTCATAGACTCTGTAGAGGGTTTTATATTTGTAGAGAAGTATTTGTAGAGGAATTTAAGGTTAAGCTAACTCTTAAAATATGACTAGATACAACTTTTCCAAGTGGACCAGGAAGGTAGGGAGCAAATTTCAAACTAGAGAAAGAACACCATGTGTTCAGACATCTGTAGGATGCAAAGGGGGTGTGAGAAGAGACAGGGGAGAACAAATAGGAAAGAGACAATTAAGGGAAAATCCTTGTATATCTTTTTAAAGTATATTATAAGCTATTCTGAAGCCTAGTTGTCTGGTTCATTGCTTTTTCAACCAGAATTTGATGGATAGTTGAACACATAAGTAAATACTTTACAATTTGCCAGTGGCTTGAGTTGTAGAGTTTTAAAAGGTTCATCCCCTCAGTATTTTGGTTTTCTTAYCTATGAATGAAAATGAACAGGGGCTGGGGTTATGACTCAGTGGTGGATCACTTTCCTAGCATGTGTGGGTCACTGAGTTTCATCCTCAGCACCACATAAAAAATAAATAAAATCAAGGTATTGTGTCCACCTGCAGCTAAAAATATCTTCAAAAAAGAAAATTAGCAATCGTTATGATATCTCTTTGTTCCACAGTAAGTTTTTTATTTTTATGCTTCAATTAATTTTATGCTTTAAATAATTTTTCTGTGCACTTATATTACCCTCTTTCAAGGGTAATTAAAAGTTAACCAGTTCCTATGATAGCACAGGAATTTTCATTTGTTTTTAAGCTTTTATTTGACTGTTTAAGAATGTTTAAGTAATCATGTTGTTTGCTGTTGCTCCAGAAATTTATAAGAGCCATGGGAACATATTTTTGCATACAAATTAAAAGAAGCATACAAAAAGCTACTTCTATGCTGAAAGCATGTTTGTTCCTTAATGTGATTTGGCGACCCTTGAACAACATGAGTTTGAACTACCCAGGTCCTCTTACATGCAGATTTTTTTAAGATTTGCAATAATTTGAGACAACTTGTAGATGAACAGTGTAGCCCAGAAGAGAAATCAAGAAACCTAAGAAGACGACATGTCATGAATGTATCAAATGTATATCGATAATAGTCTCTGTTATAATTTACCACTATGCATATACCCAACTTGATAACAAGTTAAAATTTATCAGAACTTATGCAAACACATACCACACATGGCATCACTTGCAGATGAGAGAAATATAAGCCATTATAAAGTTGTAATATTAATTGTATACGTATAAAATTAACCGTAGTAATGCGTACATTGCTACTATAATAATTTGGTAGCCCTCTACTGTTTCTGATTTGGTGAGCTCAAATGTTGTATCCACTTAAAATACTAATTATCTTCTTGTAAGCAGTTCACCTCTTCAATAAATTTCATATGGCAGTAAGAAGGATCTCTTGAAGTTCTTGCATATTTTCCACTATATATTTTATTTATACATACACACACATACAATGCAAAGTATATGTTAACCCAYTGTGTATGTTATCAACAGCAGATTATCAGTAGTTATGTTTTAGAGAAAACAAAAGTTATAAGTGGAGTTCTCTTGGGAGTGGAGAACAGACAGTGGATTTCACTAAACTCTCAGCAGTCAGAGCAGTGATGCCAACTAGTTGCTTGCTGCCCCTCTGCGCCTCCCTCGGTGCTATGGACACCGTGCCTGGCACCACAGACAGTTGTACAGGACACAGTTACTCAGGGAAGGTTTGAGGAACCTTAAAAAGTTTATTTTGAGGAATAGATTTGTTTTAACCAATAGGAATGATATAATTTGTATACTATACTGTCATAAAAGAGTAACTTCAGGAAGTACCTTTACAGTGCAGGAGATGGAGAGACTGTAATTTGATGCTGTTGAAGGAAAAAATGATGTGGAGGTGGAAGATGTTATAGGCCCTGGTAAAGTTTTAGTTCAAGGGTATAAATACATAGCAGTCTTCAGCCATTGTAGATGCTATCTACATTGTAGGAATCTTCCATGCAATCACCAGCAGAATTACCAGAATAGTGAGCATGTGAGGAAAGAAAAGAGGGATCCCAGAGTGCTTGGGAAGGCCAAGCCCAACAAAGCTTGTCCTACTGAAGATGAAGGTTATCACTTTACTCCTATGGAGACTCCATGAGGCATGAACTACAATATTCCAACCTTCCTGTGCATAGAGAGGTGAGGGAGGCTGCTGACAACCAGGCTGCAGGAGAACAAAATAGTCCAGTTGTAGAGAATATGTATTAGGCATATAGACCATGATTCTTCAGGTACCCGCCTTGCCTAAGACAGTCTAGAGAAGACAGCAACAAAAAGGATAAGAAATATCAAGGAGATGAGACTAAAGGTCAGTAGCCCCCTCGACACTGGTACCACAGCAACTTCAGTCACCAATATATCGATGTCCTGAAACTCGAAGCCACAAGATGGCAGAGTTAAAAGCAGCAAATTCACTGGTTGAGAGTTCATCTACTCCTGCAAGGCTTGGTAAGAGAGATGAGTGAATGTCATTTTTATCATCACTATCA